GGTCAAAACTGGTACCTTATAGAGTTAGTGCTTAAAGTATATACACAGGTAAGAGGCCCAGAACGGCTTTCAACTAGTGCGAAACAAAGTTGTGCAGAGTTGTTAACCGGTGAAAGGCCACGTGGCATAATAGGAAAGTGCAATTATCGAACGACGGTCAGGACTTGAATTGAAGACTGAATTTGGCCTTACACTGTGTGTGACATGTACGGGTCATAAATTCGAGTATTCGACATGAAATGGAAATCGAAGGACACAAATAAAAACGCTAAAAAATAAAAATTTATACAAATAATAAATAATTTATTGAGAGAGGAAAAAGTAAGACAAAAATCGTATACCTAGAGGGACTAAATATATAATACGGTAAAAGATTTACAAGAATGATAAAGGACAACACAGTTTAAGGTCTTGTTGTCAATGCGAAACTTTTATATCTGCAGTTGAACACAATTGCTTGTTCCACGACATCGTGAAATACTGTCTCGTAAGTATCTGAAACCTGTCATGGGACAGACATACCCTTTAGTCCGAAGCGACTTGAAATCTGGACGTATAGAGGTTTTGTGTGAACATATTTTTGACGAGTATCTTACACCTATATAATCATTAAGAGAGAAGTATAGGAGATTTTATGTTTGTGAATCGGGAAGACAAATATAACGGAGATGACAAAACTCAGAACCGAATGCCAAATGTGTATAGTAAGCACAGTGATTATAGCAAGATATACTGAACAACGGAGATTGACATGGCTTCGGCTAATATATTACGAAAAACCCCACATATAGGGTAGATATGACAACAACAATACCATCTAAACACACGCTTAATATTTATTCGAATCGTTAGCATCCGATTGATCAGAGAGACACAACAGAAGCGGTGTGGGTTCGAGCCCATAATCCACATAAGAATGCCGGTGGACATGACGAGAAGTTTACATGGCTCGTATTCATCCCGAGGTGACAAATTCATTCTAGGCACAACCAAACTCGGTAAAGGTTGCGATGGAGGGGAAGGAAAAAATCAATCAAAGTTTGATTAGAAGATGAATGTGTGGTTTAGACGAGAGGCAATAAGGAACACCTTCAAAGGGTTTTGTTCATGTCATAAGTCAGCCAGGAGAGGGAACCAGACGACGTGGGTGTTGACACTCGTTAGACAGTGGTTATTATCTATGGGCGTCTTTGTCCTGCCACAAAACTGAAACAAAAGTAGGGAGATATCAGCGGGGAAATTTTGAGATAATGCTGGTAAGATATGATAACTATATCGAAGGGATTGGTGACTTCATATAGATTGCAAGACAAGACAGACGGATGAAAATTGACAAAAAATACCATCAAGAAAGTAGGATAATCCACAAGAACAAGCGACAAGACAAAACAGTAACTTGGTAACAACCAGTACGTAACGACGAGGCGACGAGAAGCGATACCACCTATACCGATATCAGAGTTACCTACAGAGACCTACACGACATAATGATTTCCACGACACTGTTTTCAGCAACATACGTTTAGGTACAGTTCCAGAAATAATACAAGTTGGTAACACACTAACAACTGATATAGTCATTTATTGTTGACAGGTATCAGTTAGGATACCTACTATACAAAAATGTAGGAAAAAAACATAAACGAACGGGATGTCAGTCATCTGAACTTCTATACTACACCATAATGCATATATATCATGGTAGTTTAAGCTTGCGTGGTATATCTCTTTTCATAACAATATTTATCCAATTACTTTCTGGTCAGGTCCACGATAAGGAAACATACCTCTCGGTACTAGAAACATTAGAACAATCGAACTCTTCCAGACACGACTTAATAGTGGTACAAACCCTAGCGGAGTTTCCTTGTAGACAACCTACACTTGTTAATACTCTTTTGCAGAATAAGAGAAAAGGTCTGCCGGTCATGCGGAGACTGGCCGTGAACCTCTCCCCACTCTTAGTGTTGTCGACTCAGACTTTGAGACCGTAGAATACAAAATTGTTCCTATTGCGTGATAACTCGTTTGTGCGCCCGTACCTGAGCTAGAGGCTGTTGTCGGAGTACATGCAAGTCTAGTCCAAGTGGCGACTCCAAAAAGACTTATACAGTATCTGAAGGATCTATGGACACCTGCTGCGGTTTAACTAATATGTACTACATGTGGAGTAATTTAAAGAGGAAATCACTCTACAGAATGGTCCTATGAGCAGCGTATGAGAGGGAGAGTGTCGTACAGTAAAGTGGATGTGGGAAGGAAATCTACCTTTAGCCGACAACAAAGTCAGATTGTGGAACGCTACCAGGTTGTGGCAGGTGAGTTCGGGAATGATCCAGGAAAGGCAGTCAGCTGAGTCAAATAACGCGGTAAGAGGGAAAGATATCGACTGGCGTGATCGTCATGCGATGTAATCGACTCCGCACAAGGACTTATGTGTTGTTGTTACTTGCGAATGCATGATGCTAATGATGAAAGTAGTTCCTGATATCATTGGACCCGATTGGGTACTCTACTCCTCCAGAGGACGTTGGCTTGTTCGGAATCCAAGGACTTTACCGGTCCTGGGCGGAATGGTGCAAGACCGTCCTAATTCGAGGAAGTGCCGGTGTCGTATGCAGGACAAGTGTCTATGCTGTAGCGGGTATCTTGGGAGTCACGACGACACGATCTGATAGCACCAAAGTCACGTTGCTTAATACAAATCCTCACCGCACTCCTACAAGAAGGCAAGAGTGTTACACATTAGGACGATCGTTCCTACGAATCTCCTGTTTATTTTACTCGCCTAGCGAGGAAGACCTTTTCCGACACACCTAGCGCTTTCGACACTTACAGCGTCGTACAACTCGTACCAGTACGTGCTCTTTCCCCCAACACCTTTCAGCAACAGGCCGTGTGTCCTTTTGGTCTGTATCTAACGGGTCTTCTTAAGATGATGCTGTCTGTGATGCAATAGGTATTCCAACACCCAGCTCTATAGGTACAGACTCTTCCGCCACAATTACCTCATAAAGTTCCTCTTGCTTCCCTAAGTAGTATAAATGGATAGAGTATCTCTGCCTCTCCTTCTCTCTCTCTTGCTGCACAAAACAGACTGGGACGTGTCTACTCAACTCTTCTCTACCACTCATCGACACCACGTGCACGGGTCCTTGTAACACCAGGACATCTCCTGCTGCGCTATACTCGTGTCGTTTCATGTACCTGTAGGCTAGATGTTTGGCACCATTTCGTGGGACGACAGGGCTATGCAACGTGAAGTACTTTGATGGAGCCAGATGACTATTACAACCAAGTAGTGGGCGCTCTCACAACGTCGCTATGACCTTGGGCTCGGCAATGCCAAATGTATGTACCATCTAGCCTCCTAGCGCGCAGACGAGGCCTACGGTAATCACACCAACTACCGCGCGCTAGCAATGATGTGAGTCGCCAATAAGATATGACCGCTTGGAGAGGACGCGGAAAGAGTGAATGTGCTGCCGTACCTAGATCTTGAATGCCTAGTGGAGTAGAAGAAGAAGTGGGACGATGAAGTACCACGGTAGCTCGAAGCACCCGCCGTGATGAACGACCTCCAAGCCTCCCAAAAGGGGTGTCGAGATGCGGCAAAGCACGATGGGCCGATTGTCTCACGACGTGCGGCCGGTACGAGAAGGGGCCTTGAGTGAGCGAGTCCCGCCGCCATTCATAGCCTGCCGAGCAAAGACGCGGTTCCCCTTGCGGTTTCTGTAACGAAGCACATAGTCTACCGCTCCCTGCTAGGGGCCCCTTTCCCCGAGTGTCGCACCTGGGTGGAGTAGTTGGTTGTAGCCCGGAAAAGGAAGCCCAGTTCTCCCGTTGGGTAAATTAACGGTGTCAACATTGAACGACACTATCTTCCACATACCCTATCTACAAACAGAGTCGTCCAAAGAGGATTGAACCCAAGATGAAAACAAGGAAAGTACGACCACAGAGGACGGTCTGAAAAATTATGTATGTAAGGCTTCTGTTGCGAGTGCTCCTTTATAATCACAAACACACGTAAATACAGCATAAATTTTCAGCTCCTCTATCTAGATCTAGATATATCCCGTTAGGTCCTTCTCTAAATATTATAACTATAACCTTAAAACACACTACAAAAGAATTTAAAAATTAAATCTAACACTCTCCTAACGTTAAATCCGTAATATCACTACATCACAATTATATACTCGAGCCACTA